CCAACTTCTTCACCATATATATCAGCTCAGGCACAGAAAATGTATCAACATCAACAATATCAAACACATGTACTTTACCCCAAGTAACTCCTAGGCCCACCATCACTATTTATAAAATACTCACTATGATGTAAAACCAATTTCATATTTATATCATCCATTGTTACATTCACAAATAAACAAATATATCACTAACAAACAAAAAAAATGCATCAAAAATCAGTGGACTGAACAAGTGGCATGGGACCAAAAATGGAGATAAAAAATTTGATAAATCAGTAGTCCATCACTCAGTCAATGCAGTGGTCCAACCACTCAGTTAATGCAGTGGTCCATCAATGGAGATAAAAAAAATTCATAAAGCATCCAAGACATTAAAGTAACCAACACACACATATTCATGCAATAAAGTAAGATACAAACACAGAGTTTGCCATTACTTTATTCATAGAATCAGAAAAAGAAAAAAACAAAACTTCATATACAAATTACAAGAAAAAGAAACAAAAAAATCGTATAAATCACTTACCAACACTCCAAATAACAGTAACCAGCAGTACTTCAAACTCTGGTCCAGATTTTTTTTCCAAATCACAACAACCCCTTTGCCCTAAATCGACGAAATTGAAGAAATTAGGGGAAATTGTAGCCCTAATTAGTGAAATTCAGGATTTGGGAGCTTTTATATGGGTCTAATAAGGAACAATGTCGCTTTGGATTGGTTTAGGCGTCAAAAATGACTTTCTCCACTATTTCATGAAACGGAGATGGACGGGGGCTTACATTGTGACACAGAATGAATTACAGGGTTCTAATTGTCAAAATTAAAAACTTAAAATTTAATTTTCAAAATACGTTAAACCTTAGAGTTTTATTTGTAATTTACCCTTAAAAAAATTATATTTTCGTTTAACAGTGAAATAATTTCATTTTTATGAGATGCAAGTCCTTGTGTGTAATGCAATTACTTTTCGTGATTGGTGCTAGTTTTTACCGAATATACGATTTACACCCAAAAGGAAAAAAAAAAAAACACCCATAATATAATTATTTTAAAATTATCCCCACTAAAATGCTATTTTTTTCATATTTTATCCTTTCTCATTCAGACACAGCCATTTGGTTCTATCTAAAGTGCCTTTCGGAGTTTCGAAGAAGCTTTATGGTGCTACTTGTCCATTCTCTTTACCATATATATATACGGTTGGTTTCCAAAAGCCAGATCGCCAAAAGACCAAAATAACCCTTACAATAAAATAAAATAAAAAGGGTTTGTCATTCGGTTGGGCCTTTACATAACTGTAGAGAACCATACTGGGCTTATTGTTGGTAAGAGACATTGGAGGTGTTTGGCGCCACTATTAAGGGGGCGTTTAGGGAGCAAGTTAAAAAAGCTAATTTTTTACTTATTAATTTTTTTACATAAAAAAGTTATAAAAAAGTCAATTTTTTTACACAAAAAAGCCATTAAAAGTTAAAAAAAAATCAACGTTTTACTAACTTCGCAAAAACACACTAAAACTAATTATACATTATAGTTTTAATTAGAATTATATAATCTGTTTGGTGTATCTGTTGAATTATAGATTTAAGTTACTAAGTAGTATTTAATAAATAAGTTATGAAATAACTTTTAATGTGTAAATGTCTCTTTTACCCCTGTTAACTGTACTTTTTGTTATTAATTACCACATAAAGAAATCATTCCAACAATATATTTAATATAATAAATTTATTTTTAGATAATAAAAATGATAAAATTAATAAATTTTATATTAGTTTTGAAGAAACATTTGTGTCATGTAAACTTTTAACTAATTTTAAGAGCACAAAGCAAAACAAAAAAAAAATTATTGTTGTGAAATATTTGGATAACCATCAAAAGAGATGTAATTAGAATTATAATGAGTTTTGAGCCAAAGTGAAAATAGAGGAAAGTTTTACCATATGGGAGGTGTGGTATGCCATGTAATAAACCACATGGTGTGATGAATAGTGGTGTATAGTGCAGGTTTTATTACCTAGATAAATCAGTGAGTTTATATGGTAAGGAAAATATAGAAAAATTATATATTATATGTGTAATCTTTTATTTCCCCATTCATTGCGACTCTTTCTTTATTATTTCTTTAATTTTATAATAAAAATCAAATAAAGATCTTGTATAATGGTATAATTGTAAATATTTTGAAAGAGTAAGAATATTTTCTAAATTAAATGACTCACCGTATAAGCGGTGAATCAAAAGCTGCTACTAGGCTGATTCTCAAAATCAGATTTTTTGCCAGAAAAAAGCTATTATAAGCTCAAGTTGTTTCGAAGAATTTGCAACAAACAGTCAAATTTAATTTTTTAAAAGATAGAAGCTATAAGTTGGGTGAAAAAATTCCCACCAAACACCCCTTTCTCAAGTGCAGGCTATGGACTAAACAGTCCAGCTCGCTAAGTGTCTGATTTTGATGACTAAAATGATTTATTTTCTAAATTATATATAAATTATAAATAATAAAAAATTAGTTTGATTTCATATTTGTTTTTGTAGTTTAAATTCAAAATCATATACTTATCATTTATTTGTTTGACAATAAATATGATGAAGCCATAAAGTTACGACTATTAAATTAGGCCAAATTTGGCATATTGTAAAAAAGTTAAAAAGTCAAAAGTTACTCAAAAAGTTAAAAAGTTAACACTATTCACCAAAAGTCAACAATTACGGCTGCATAACTCTCAATCCTAATTTTTCCCTACAAATCAAATTTTACAATTTTTTATTACACATTTTTCTAATAAAGTCAAAAAGTTAACCAAAACATCCATATTTTCTTCCTCAATTTTTTAGTTCAAAAAGACAAAACGTGCACTTATTTAAGACACCCTAACAACTCCTTAGTCTACTTTTTATTTTTACTAAATTTTTTTTTAGATAAATGAGTAAAAGTGATCATCAAATTAGGCCACGACAGCTCAAATGGATGGACTCGATGGTCCAGTTCATTTATGGAATAGAAGAGAACTTGATTGAAATTGTCAAAATAATAAACACAATAAAATAATTTTGTCATTTTAATTACATTAATGCTCTTCAATTTTGAATTTTGAGCTTTCAATTTAAAATTTCTCTATTTCAAATGACATTCTTTTCAAAATTTCATATTTAGCACAAGCCTGATGAAATTCCAAAAACGTCAAAATTCCTAGGTTTCATTTGATTAGAAAGAAAAATTGGTAGAAAGTGGAAGGAAAAGAAAATGAAGTGACAAAAGGAAATAGAAAATAAAATATATTTTCTTGTAAACATTTGATTAAGATGAAAATTTTGTAAGAAAAATATAGAAAAATTTAAAAGTTATAGGTATAGATAACTCACACATTCAATTTTTCTGTGTTTTCTTATTTTTTACAAGAAATAAAAAATTAGTTACAATGCTGATATAGATTATATAAGAAAATTAGTTTTCTTGTACTTTCCACTATTTTCAAACTAAACAAACTCACAAAAGTTAAATTTTTTTTTTTTTTTTTTTCTTTCTTTCACTTTCTACCTATTTTATTCTAAACAAATTGAGCCTAAAAATAAAAAAAAAAATAAACTTAAAATAATCTTCTTCATGATCCTTCCCGCGTCTGCACTGTGGATTCCTTCAGAAGGCCCATTATTTCAAGCCCAATAAAAAGTGCCAGTAGAGATTACAATAAAAGACAGGGTCAAAAGGGTAATTTAAGTTAAATTCTCTATAAGGCTGGTTAGAAAATGCCGATGAAATATTTTCTTGATTTTCCTCCTCTCTCTCTCTCTCTCTCTCTCCTCAGAAGTTTGGGAGTATGTTTGGATAGAGAGAAAATCTCCTGGAATAGCTATAGGAAATGGCCACAAGTCTGCTACTAGCCCCTTCCCACCACCACTTGAACAACAATACTCTCTTCTCTGCTTCTACTTTCTTGGGTAGTCGCAAATTCAACCACTTCTGCAATTACCCTACCTCCAAATCCAATTTTAATCGCTTCAGGGTCAGAGCAATCAAAGAGAAAACAGAGGAAATTAAGAACCCATCTTCTTCTCCTTCAAATTCTCCTTCTTCACCAGAGGAAATCACAGAGAAATATGGCCTAGAAGTTGGTCTCTGGAAGGTACTACCCATCTCTTGTCTTTTCTTCTTCTTTACTCTCTGTTTCATTTTGTTTTTTTGTTTTTTTTTGTTGGGTATTTGGAATGACTGTTATGGTTAATCCTCTGTTTCTCTTCTTTTCCATCTTTTAATTTTATTTGATGCCAGAAAGAAAATTAGTGTTTAATTGTTGATAAAATGGAGGAGAAGATAAAGAATTGGGAATTAATAAATTCTACTGTTTGTTTTTATCTCTTGATTTGGTTCTTGGGTTTGGTAATTTGATTCTTGAGTTACATTATGATTATTTTTGGGGAGAGTAACATGAACACAACGTTACACCATATACACAGAGAGAGGCTAGTTTCGTGACTCAAAGCCGTGCCACTATAGCTAATAATATAATCTTTACTGTTGGGCCACCTTTAAGCCGGTTTGCTTTTTTTGGATTGGCAACAACATAAAAATAAAAGTATTATTAATGAAAGGAAGATTACTAGAGACCTGAAAAAAAAAAAATTAAAAATTAAAAATAAATAAAAATCAAGAAGAAAGGAATCCCTTGAAAAGGAGAAGAAACTGAGCCCCAAAACGATGACAAATAACAAGTGATTTTGAAGGAATTTCCAGCTCCGTGAAGAAGATGACGCTATTGCATGTGTATGTGTGTTTTCCCCTCCCTGGGGATGTTCTTGGGTAGCTTAAACATGTGGTAAGAAAGAGAGGAACAAAAGGAAGAGAGAGAACGAAGGGAAGTGGAGGAAATTTTGTCTTCATGTGTTTGGAGATGTAAAACCATCACTCTTGGCTGTGTGCTTGAAAGAGCAATTGGCTATAAAAAAAAAAATGTGAACTTATTTTATTTTATTTTATTTTTTTATTTTTGAGTTTTTATGTTAACAAATTGCTCTGCAAAAAAGAGGGTTGCTGATAATGTCATTAGAGTATAGCTTTTTTTTTATAAAAAAGGGGGTAAATTATACTTTGCACTCATGCGCTTTATACCAAATTTCATTTTGATCCTTACACATGAAATCATAACAGTCAACTCCTTGCACTTTTGGTCAAATATCATTTTGGTCCTTACATATGAAATCGTGACAGTCACTCCTTACACTTTTAGTCAAATCTCACTTTAGCCCTATACAAGTGTCAATGTACCCCTTCTGTTACTCTATTATTTAAATTTTTAATAGAATGCAGTTATATGACTAGAATGTAACTACGAAAGAAGGATAAGAGAGAAAAATCATCTCCATTTCCCATCAATATATATTTTGTCTCAAAATTTACATCAAATTATAACTGTATTAAGCTAAAATAAAGTGCATATTGTGAATGATTAAGAAGATGAATTAGGGTTTTGCATCAATTGAAATCACGTAATTTTGTTTTCCAAAGTAACTCACTTTTCTTTCTATTCCTCTTCTTTGCAGACAGAAAAGTGTAAGGGTAACTATTTGATTTCTTTGCTACCTTTTTTGAATTCAAAAGCCATATTCGTCTCAAATTTTAACATACAAACGTATGTATATTGTATTTTATAACTCTCATGCGCTTATCACATAGGACAAAATATGTGTTGATGGAAAATAGAGATGATTTTCCTCTCGTACCTTTATTTCGTAGTCACATTCTTGTCATATAATAAGATTTTGTTCAAGATTTAAATAATGGAGTAACAGAAGGAGGGTATTGATACTTGTGTAAAGACCAAAGTGGGATTTGACCAAAAGTGCAGGGGGTTGACTGTCATGATTTCATGTCTAAGGATCAAAGTGAGATTTGACTATAAGTGCAAGGCGTTGACTGTTATGATTTCATGTGTAGGGGTCAAAATGAGATTCGGTATAAAATGTGGGAGTGCTAAGTGTAATTTATCCCAAAAAAATGAGGGGGAGAGTGAAGATTTGTTTAAGCAATTCATTCTTTGAAGGAAAGATATTCAAATTTCTGCGAGCAAGAGAGGGAGAACTTTTGAGATGATGGAGTTATACTGATCTTCTCTCTGATCCATTAACTTTTGGTTGAAATTTTGCAGATATTCAGTTCAAAAGATGAAGGAAAAGAAGGCAAGGGAAACAAATCAAAGGGCGATCAAGCCAAGGAGCTCTTGGCAAAATATGGAGGAGCATACCTGGCCACTTCCATCACTCTCTCCTTGATCTCCTTCGCACTCTGCTACGTGCTCATCAGCGCTGGTGTCGATGTCCAATCTTTACTGCAAAAGGTAACTATGAATCAAATCAAATCAATTAACAATATAAATCGCAAATCGTAGTTTCAATTTCGAAGTTGTTTCTATTGTTTGCAGGTGGGAATCGTGACTAATGAGACCGGGGAGAAAGTTGGGACTTTTGCATTGGCATATGCTGCACACAAGGCTGCATCTCCCATAAGGTTTCCACCTACTGTCGCTCTCACCCCCATTGTTGCTGGTTGGATTGGGAAGAAAGTTGATAAAGAGACATGACTTCTTTTTGTACAAGTATGTATATTGTAATGTGAACTATTTTAGTATTTTGTTTTAATTTGCAAAGAATTTTAACCATAGTTATTACATGATATATTTTTCTCCTGCAACTCCCATTTTGTGCCAATGTAAACAAGCAGCATAACATCTTCCTGTTGGAGTAAAGGCCATTGAAACACTAATCACTAATTGTGTCACAAGTTTAAGCTCTTACAAAATGTCGTCCAATAATTTATATCAAGTTAACGTTGCCTTTCATGTACAATCTTGTTTTGCACATGAAGAGAATAGAGAGAATATATGATAACCAAGGAGATGCAATTCGAACCCAATACACTAATAATTATTAGATCATGGGAAGATCTGAAGATATCCAATAATTTTGAATGTAGAGACAAAATTAAAAATAAAAGATCTTGTGCCATGAATAATTTCCAAGAAGACCACCTAAATTGTCATTCAAGTTCATTTATTATTTATCTTCTACAACAATTTAGTGATGGATTAAGGGGATAATTTTTTTTAAGACAGCTTAGCTCAATAATAAAAGCTTGCTATAAGAATTTTAGTAATCAGATTCGAGTCACTAAAATCACCTATTAAAAAAGGTCAGTCTTTTCAAAGACCACTTTAACAGAGCTTCGTGCACTAGGATGTCCAACAAAGCATTTAAAGAAAGAACATCTGTAATTTGAAGTAGACATTTCCAACAAATTAAAGTTCGTTGAGCATCAGATATTGCAATATAAGGTCAAGAATATTAAAACCAGGATCCATTAAAATTCATAAACTATTCATGCCTATGGAGAAAGTGCCTACTCAAATGAACACCATAGCATACAAAAGTTTAAAAAAATAATAATAATAATAATTCAATTCATATCACATAACACAAAATATGAATGTGATTACTTTGCAAAGCCAGCCTAATAAGTTGCATGTCATGAGAAGCCAAGAAATTTAATAATATACAGACCGATTTATTCGTTATTATCATAGCGAGTAACCTAATGGGGTTGCATGTCTCTTAATATACTGTACAATGAGCCAGTTGCATTGATCTTCCCTATCTCAACCGAGCTTTGTACAAGGACTTCTAGGAACATTGAGAGGGCAAACCTGTTGGAGCCTTCCACCATTCCCTCCAACCTTTGAATGCGCATAACAGAGAGATGATTCGATCTAATGGCTCCCAACCGATGTCAAGCCCAAGTTTCTGTGATTCGGTTCATCATCAAATCCCATTTATCTGCCTGTAGTGTTTGCAGCAGAAGGCACTTCTGTTGTACTTGAAGGCGGAGTTTGGGGACGAGGTGTTATGACATTAGCCATTTCGAAGTCATCATGAAGTGTACCCAACTCATTCCATTCGACAACAGCTGTGCTCAAGAGTCAGGGATTTCAATATTCATTGTTAAGAATATTATGACTGGAAGAAAGGTAAGCAAAGAAAAAGAAAGAGAGCCAAATAAGAGGATACACTCTGTCCCCCACAAGTCTGTAATGCTAACATCAGCATCTGGTAAAAGCCAGTAATCTGCATCACTCTGCAAAGACCATAGGAAACATTTAAGAACCCAAAAAAAATGTCAAAACCACGTTCCTCGGTTTATTTAGACTTGTTAACCAGGGGGCAATAAAACTTGCAGGCTTTCCATTGACTTGGATCACCACTAGTAGTAAAACTGGCTACGGATTGTTGGAAAAGCCACAAAAAGGCAATAATTACTCTTTAACGTGCACATAATCCAATTCTAAAACCAAACACAACTCCCTCACATGGAGTAGGACCCACACATTTAATGGGTCCCACCCTATGTGAGAGGGTTGTATCCGATCTATCAGATTATGTGCACTTTGAATTATTTATCACTATTTTGAAAACAACATTGATTTAAGTTGCTCTTGGCAGATGGTATGGAGTTATTTAAAGAATGCCATCTGTTTGATTTGAGTTGATCCTGGCAATTTGTAACTCCAAACTAGGATAACTGATAATTATATGTAAATTCAAGAAGTCTCGACTCACTTCAACTTCTGGAACAATCTTCATGATCCCACTCGCAAAGTCCGGTGTGGCATTTATATCTGAGCATGTTCTATGGGCTTCTTCTTGCCCCTGCATTTCAATCTCATTTTGGTTGCTTTCTTCAGTTAGCAATGGTGCAGATGTGTTTTCATTGAGCCCTGATGTTGAAGGAATGCTTGGGGATGCCCCAACACCATTATTAATCTCCTCAAACTTCTCCTCAAATTGACTGAAACAAATTACATTTAGGAAAAGAGAAGAAAAAAAAGGAAACAAAAAGAAAATAGATATACATATATATACAACACTTGCAAAAACAGCCTGCAAGAGATGGACTCTCGTCTTTATTTCCGTTAAAAACATAGAAAGATCGAAACAGAGGTAATTCACACAAACTATGTTTTGTATCCGAGAGAAGCAGAAGTACCTGACAAGGTAAACATCTACCGGACCCATGGTGCTCCTGAGCACTACTCTGTATCTCCTCTGAGGATAGTCAACAGCCTGGTAAATAAGAAAAATTTTAGAAATACATGTGCCGGTTATTACTGAATCTCTTATAAGATCTCAACTTTACCTCATCAGGATCTGGGACTTCTAGCGTGGTGCCATGTGGAGCTTTAATTGCTATCAGGGTTTCATTCTGACATAAGCAATGAATAATTGTCAGCCAAAGAAATTTAGGACTTCAGAACAAAAATAGCCAAAACACCAAAAAACTAATAAATCAACAATTATAAGAATTAAATGGGACAGGAAACAAATTGACCTGGAAGCACGGTAAGCCTTTGATGTCATCTTCAGTGACAAATAGCCACCTAGAAAAGAAGGAATAAGACGAGAGAATTGTGTTAAATAAACTGAAAAACCGCTGTTCGGGGAAGTCTTCCTATCATACTAAGTATATACAGCTTAATAACTTTCCATGAAGGTGGAGGCAGAAGAAGATATTACTTTTGATTATTCTCATTTTCACTCAGCTCCCTCAACCTTTCCTGCATTTCTCTACAAGAAATCAAAGTATAGAAGCATCAGCATAATCCAAGGTTGCAAAAAAGAAGATGGATATGATTGTCTTGCCACAGGCATCATTGTGTGACCTTATTTGTTCATCTAATCTGCGCTCCTCAAGGGAAAGGTTTTCAACTTCTGCCTGCAGAGGAAAAACATCCATGAGGACAAACCCAAAGCACCTCCAAAGAAAAAGAACATGATATATTTTTTGCCTTTTGACTTGGGCTATGTTTCCTAGAACATGGATCATTCCGGTGCGTGGAACAGTGATTAGAATGTGGTACGTCACATGGTACAACACGGATAAACTTATATTGATTACGCTATTTACATAACATCGCATTTCCATAAGCATTTTCTGTTAACACTGGACCTGGGTAACATGGACTGTGATGATGCACCATTTGCTTAACAGAATATGATGCTCCATACAACTCAAATGGAAGCAGCCCCAATAGAGGTATTTTGGGGTCCGTTACTAAAATCTCTACCTTAATTCATTTTCTGGACTATGTTCATATATATATATTTTTAATAAAAATTATCATTTTCTGGACTATATTCATATATGTTGAACTAAAGTTTATAAGCTGGCTGGCATGTTATCCAAACCTGCTTCACCTGATTAGACACTAGTGATGACCACACTAACACATCCAAAAAAAGTAGAATACAGACATGGGTAGACAATAATATACATGTCTCATTAATGTATAAACACATAAAATAAGCATATACACATTCCATAAGATAAACTTCTTTTGGATTTTCTGTATCTCTGTGTCTCTCATGTAATGGAAGACGAGTCTCAACAAAATACAACTGTTACTAATCCCTTATAATTTTTACTTAAGAATAATATTTTTTCAGTATATTAAGAAGTGCGTGTTTGATTGGTGTTGCCATGCACCTATGCATATGATCTCACCTTAAATTAAAAAGTGGTGGTACACATTAAGGACATGTCTAGGATGTTTTCATGGGTGAAAAAAATGATTGTTTTATCTGACATGGAGAGAGAGAGAGAGAGAGAGAGAGAGAGAGTGGAAACAAAGTAAAACACATGCATGCACATTTTCAAAAGTTATTCATCACCTATCTCTAAGCCACTAAAAGTTCTGCATGCCAACAAGCTTATATATTTACAGTTTCCACATACCTGTATGGTAACAGCATTCTCATCAGTCTCCCCTGGCCTTGACACGTCAACTCCCCTGATTAATCAATTATCTAGTAATTAGCTTCTTGTGTGGTTGAGATGATTACTAGAATTAATCTCTGTTATCAGAATCTTACGATTCGCGATTCGATTTGCAATTTTTGCAAAATCGATACGAATCTATGAGTGAATTTATTTTGGAGGTGAATCTCTAGTGAATCGCACGATTCACAGTCGATTCACGATTCGATTCACTTTTTACGATTCATGCAATTTTTAAAATTATTGTGTACGACATATTTTCGACTCTTTTTTTCTCCATCTTTTTAGTGAAAATGGCATAATACAACTTTTAATAGCGTTTAATACCAAAATAACCAACATATATACATGATTTATTGTTATTTTAGTGATCATGGAGTTTTTAACAGAATCCAATTAGATTCAATCAGACCCAACATATTTTTAACCTTTCTTCTCATTTTTTTTTTCCTTTTAAAAAATCATAATATATCTTCTAAAAATGTTTAAGATTAAAGTTACACTATGAATTATTTATTACTATTTTATTAAATTGAATATTACATGTGTGAGGTCAGTTATACTTTTTAAAACGTTTTAGGCTTTTCAATAAAAGATTCTAAATAATTCCTTCTTGTTATTTGCTCACTGTTACTTAGAAAAGTATATATGCTTATTGTCCAAATATCAACATTGTTGTTAATTACTGTTACTTTGGAAATTGATAGTTTGTCAATTTAGTTAATATCTTTATTAAGAATGGCTGATAAGAAATATCTAAAAAAAAAAATAGGCAAGATGGTGATATTACATCTTTATTAAGAATGGTTGATAAGAAATATCTAAAAAAGAAAAAAGGTAATATGGTGATCTTACATAGGAACCTTTGTTAACTTCTTACCTATTAAACTACGTGATTATCATTCAAAATAACAT